AAAACCAAAGACACAAGGGAAAGATTAGTCCAAAGGACTAATGGACCACAACTACCACAGCCTCCACCAGACTGAGTCCAGCACAACTAGATGGTGCCTGGCTACAACCACCGACTGTTCTGATAAGGATCACAATAGAGGGTTGCAGACAGAGCTGGAGAAAAATATAGAACAAAATCCTAGCTCATAAAAAAAGACCAGATTCACTGGTCTGACAAAGACTGGAGAAATCTCTAGAGTATAGCCCCCGGACACCCATTTTAACTCAGTACTGAAGTCACTCCTGAGGTTCACCCTTCAGCCAAAGATTAGACAGGCCCATAAAACAAAACGAGACTAAATGGGCACACCAGCCCAGGGGCAAGGACAAGAAGGCAGGAAGGGACAGGAAAGCTGGTAACGGGGAACCCAAGGTTGAGAAGGGGAGAGTGTTGACATGTTGTGGGGTTGGCAACCAATGTCACAAAACAATATGTGTATTATTTAATGAGAAACTAATTTGCCCTGTAAACCTTCATCTAAAGCACAATATGAAAAATAGTTATGAAAAGTTCTCATTTTATTGATCCACCCTGATTTCATCAGTTTATTCATTTTGATTTTTAAAATATCTATGTAAAATATTAAATGAAATGCAAAATGAGTACAAACAAGATTGTCAAATTTTTTAGAAAATACTAACATATATTATTTTTATCATTCAAAGAGAACAAAGAAATTTTAAAATAAGTTATTCTCCAAACTCAGTAATTTTATCCCTAGGGCATTTCATTTCAAAAACAGACATTTATACCTTAGTGTCAAACCACAAGTCTATCTATACTACGTCTTAGATACCACTTGTGACTCTCAAGTCTATGCAACAGTCCTCATGAGATAAGGTGAGAAAGTAAGAAAAGAATACAAGACAAAGCAAGGTACCTTTCTTACAGGGTACCAAAGATGATTAATGAATGATTGCTTAAAAAGTTACCAATGAAATAATTTGGAGGAAGCATAAAACCAACACCTGTTGTCATCAAGGTGATTCTGACTCATAGTGTAGAGAAAAGAGAAGAGTTTGGGGATCAGTGAGAGCTATGTGGTTTTAGGCAAGAAACTTAAAGTCTCTATGCTTCATCTTCCTCATCTGCAAAAATGGAGACAATATCTACCCTGTAGGATTTTAAATGAGAAACACAGGAGAGCACTTAGCACAGATCTTGGTACATGGTAGGTATTCAACAAATGTTTCTCCCTTCTTGCAGCTATGCAGCAACCTGAAGGAGTGACTGAAAAAATGAGGTAGATCATAGTCCAACATTTTCTAAGATGAATGATACAGAAAAGATCCAAAGTACAATTATTTTTAATAAATTATGAAAGTAAATACACTAAAAATTATCATAAACAGTCTGGCATAATGGAACGTGTATTAGACCAAGAGTCAGAAGACCTGAATTCCAGACATTTGAAACCCCGGGTCTCAGTTTCCTTATCGGCAAAAAGGTATCAATACTATCTATTTATAAACAGCTTAAATAAACTAATGCACATGAATGCACAGTCCTCTTCAATGTCTGTATAAATAGGAGACATTATTGTTGCGTTTCAAAGGGGGAAAATAGTGTATATCCCACACAACTTAAATGCTAACTATAATTTTCAATTTAACTGAGGAATACAGATGAAGTATTTACAAGTTAACTATCAAAAAAGGAGAGGTCAATGAACAAAATATTACCTCCTTTCAAATACTCATTTAAGTAGAAATATCAAATAAATATTTCAAGTATATCTAAGTAACATTTCAATTTGAGAATTCTTATGTGCTTACCTTTTTTCATTTCCTAGTTCTTCATTTTTCTGAGATTTTTCTGGACATCTTTCTTTTCCCTTATAAAAGAGAAAGTTTTCATTTTAAATCATATGGTCCATTTTTGTGAAATCAAAGAGAACATATTATTTAAAGTTGTTGGGTTTTTTTTTTTTTTTTTTTTTTTTTTTTACCTTAAGAAAAGATACAAATGATCCTATATGTGCATCTCCTTGTTCAGGAACTGCTACATCTTCTGTGTTGGGGTCAATAAAATCATACACCTCTTGGTCTAAGTATAGATTAATATTTATTAGAAAATAAATACAGTAACCTGTATGCTCTGATACTGTAGTACTCAGAATAAAAGTGTATTCTCTTGATACAAGTTGGCTAAAGATTCAATAAGTATAGACATTTTTCAAGGTCCATTTTTAAATTAAAAAACCCATTTCTAACGAGAGCATGTATATGAAATAAAAATGGAAAACACCATATGAATTACCTTTCTGAGAGTCAGGTTTACTTCCTATTGAATGACTGTCATTTCTTGATACCTGCTCTCTATTTGATTCTGAGACTTGAGAGTGAAGGCTGATTGTGTCATCATCTGATGGCTGAAAAGGAATAAGCATAAAGTACAAACAAGGCATTTTAAACATATGGTAAGGATTAAGTTGCTCTAATTTAACATACGAAGTATAGAATATCTGTTTTACATCTCCAATTTTGAAACCAAAAATTAATGTTAAAGTTTACTGTTCTACTTAAAAAGTCTGTATGTCATTTACTCATTTGAAGTCATAAAATATACTGATGCTATTTTTAAACGAAATAAAAACCAAGTATGTGCATGTGTCTATCTCTTTATTTCAAAACCCTAATAAAATTTTAAAACAAAATGGATTGGCAATAGAAAAGACTCACCTCCGTTGTAGATAATCGTTTCTCTCCATTATCACTTCCAATTCCAGAATCAGGACCATGATTTTTATTTGGATAAAAATCTTCCATACTATGGAAACAGAAATTCTAAGGGCAGTTAGGGTTTTTTCTTAAAGTGATAGTACCCACGCAACCTAAAATTGCTCTAGATAATACAGAATATATACTTTTGGTGTCTAAGATACTTAAGGACAAGAAAAAAAAAATTGAAGGTGAGTCGATTCTGACTCATGGCAACCCCATGTGTTACAGAGTAGAACTGAACTTCATATGTTTTCTTAGCTGTAATCTTTATGGAAGCAGATCACCAGGCCTTTCTCTGCTGGTGCTGCTGGAGGGGCTCGAACTGTCAACCTTCTGGTTAGTAGCCCAATGTAAAGTGTTTGTGCAACCCACTGCTAAAATCCGTAAGGACACGAGGGGGGAATTTCACAAAACACTTTATACATGTCCCTCATACAATATTTTTTTCCTTCATGTGCTCTGTTGTAAAGTGTCAGTTATTAACAATAACCTATTATTTCTCCTGAGAGATTCAGGAAAGCAGACTGTTAGACAATCATCTTGATAAAAGACCTATTTTTTCTCACTTATTTGGCAAATTTCATCACAGCACTTTGGAATATTTTTAACTTTATACGGTTTCTGTTTCATAACTAACCTCTAAAAAGCTGCCTTAGTTTTATAAATAATGTCCATCTAATAATTAAGAAAAGAGAGAATTAAAAAAAAAAGTCTGCCAAACATCGAATACACAATTGTTTTGGTGTGAGGAAAGAGCTGCCCTTGCAAACTTCTGTATTATACAGTATGCCACCCAGACTGCAATGTATTTTTCACTTTAATTTACAAATTTACCATATACTGTACAATAACTGCTTATTATGTGCCAAGAACCGGGCTAAGTGCTTTAAAGGTAATACCTCACATATTCCTTGTGAAAACTCTAACAGGTTGGTGGTATTTTACTGATGAGTAAACTGAGGCTGAGAGGGGTTGAACTATTGAGCTACTTACTCAAGGACACACAACTTAGAAATGGCAGTCTAAATCTGATTCCAAGGCTATCAAATACTAAAGTCCCTAATCTTAATCTATGCTATATTTCCTCCCCCAAATGGTTTCATTATAAAAAGTTTACTTTTTTTACTTTTGGGGATTATATCAATAAACTTAGAGAAATGCCTACCATGTGTCAGGCACTGTGGTAAACACCTGAGATGCGATGAAATTAAAAAAAAAAATTCCTTCAAAGTGCTCTCAGCGCAAAGGGAAAGCAAGTCTGTTTATACATTTTCAAGATTATGACAAAGGTATGTATAAAGTACTGTGAGGAAAGAGAGATGAACTAATTCTCCTTGGTAAAGTTAGGAAAGGCCTCACCCAAGAAAGCGGCATTTGAACTTAGTCTTGAAGGATGAAGAGAGGCAATAATGGTTAGCATTTGTTGGGTGTCTACACTATGTTAGATGTGCTTCATATTTTATTCAGATTCCTTATAGTTTGTAATTTATGCATTATTATTTCTTTTTATAAATGAGGGTGATAAAGTTTATAAAAGTTAACTTCCCAAGGAGAAAGAGTGCAACATTTACTGAATAACATTTACTGAACTAGTTGCCTAAAACACATTTAATTCTCACAACAACCTGTTTTTACGATATTGTTAATTAACACCTTAGATAAGAAAACTTAGGCTCAGAGATGTTAAATAATTTACACAAAGCGACAGAGGAATTAAGAGGTTAAATCATGATTAGAGCTGAAGTCCATCTGACTCCACTGCACAACAATACATCCACGTACTAAAATATATCCGTGTACTTGCAATAGACGATAATGGTAATAAGAAGGTATCTGAGCAATTTCTATGGGTCAGGCATTGTTCTAAGTACTATACATAATTTCATTTAATCCTGACAGAATCCGTGTTGTTATTTTACTTTTTATATATAAGAAAACTGAAGGTCTAAGACATTAAGAATAAACAAAGACGTGCAGTTATTAAGAGGTAGAGAAGGGCTTCCAAAGCCATATCGTGTCTGACACCAAAAGTTGATATACTTAACTACTATAATTCCTATCTAGGTATAATGAAGAATTTACAAAACAGACAAAGCACAGAAGTGTACTCTAGGCAATAAGAACCATACAAACAAGGGCCCCAGGTGTCAAAGTCAAAAGCAATTACAAGTGTTTTCTAAGTCATTCAGTATGTGCTATGAGTGGGAGATTAGCACAACCCACAGCTAACCCATGAGCTCTGTCCTATATGGTAGCCACTAGCCATATGTGGCTATCAAGCACTTGAAATGTGCTAGTCCAAAATGAGATGTGCTATAAATATAAAATATATAACAGTGTTCAAAGATTTAATGCAAAAAAATGTAAAATATCTCATTAATATGTTTATATGAATTACATGATGGAATGCTATTTTAGATATCTTGCTAAATAAAATATTAAAATTAATTTCACCTGTTTCTTTTGACCTTTTTTAAAGGTTACTAGAAAATTTTAAATTACATACATGGCTTGCATTATATTTCTATTGTGCAGTACTGTTATAAATCATTTCTAAAATACATCTCAATTCTATCCACTTCTTTTATCTCCATTGCAACCACACTATTCAAGACCCCTTGGTCTCCTGACAGTACTGCAATAGCATAACTAGTCTCTATGCTTCTACTTTGGCTTGTTTCCCATCTATTCTCTCTATTAGAGCCAAAATTGTTTTCTTAAACATAAATCAGATCAGGTTATTTTCCTGCTTAACACTTTCCAATGACTTCCCACCATAACTTGAGTAAAATTCAAACTCCTTATCACAGCCTACAAAGCCTCACATGACTTGAGCCCTGACTATCTCTTCCAAAATCAACTTGTACCACTCTCCCAGGCTCAGCTACTCTACTCCAGGCATGCTGGCCTCCTCTCAGTTCCTTGAACTTGCCAAGTTCCTTCCTGCCTTAAGGCCTTTGCATATGTCATACTTTGTGCCTCAGGTGAACTTTCCCTCACCCTTTACATGCCTGGCTTTTCTACTTTAAGGTCTTGGCTTAAAACTTCACCTACCCTAAGAGACATTCCCTGAACATCCTCTTGAAATACATTCCTTTCCTTCATAGCACTCAGCACAATTTGACATTATACATCTGCTTCCTTGCAGATGGATGTGTTATTCAACAAAGCATAAGAACCTATTACACTAGGTATTCAACTATTATTTGTAAAATAAATAAATAATGAATGCCATTACTAAAGCAAATTAATTTTAACTAAATAATACAAAAAAGACTAATAGAAATTAGAATGCATAATAATTATAATTTTTATAGAATTGTTTAGTCTACTACTGCTCATGATACTGAGCAAAATAATCTTTATGAACTGAATTTAATGTTTAGATATTTAATTCTATTTAGGCAATACAAATATTCAAGGAAATGTCCTATGTGGAAATTCAAGAACTTGTACTGTTAACAATCATACTTACTATACTGCCATTTTAAGTAATCTAAATTTTATCATATATGTAACGACAAACCTTTAAATCTTTTATAAAGCAGTGTAGTCTCCCCATCTCTAGTTTCATTCCATCCAAGTTATTTTCCATATTAAAACCAAACCCGTTGCCATCGAGTCAATTCCAACTCACAGCGACCCTACAGGACAGAGAACTGTCCCATAGGGTTTCCAAGGAGTGGCTGGTGGATTCAAACTGCCGACCTTTTGGTTAGCAGTCGAGCTCTTAACCACTGTGATTATGTTTTCACAAAATCTTTTAGACCAATCTATATCTTTAAAAGATGAATTAAAAAGAGAACATTAAATCTACCTTGTTAAAATCTCATGAGGAAGAAAAACACCAAAATCAATGATAAATCATCTTTGAGCCTGACATAAAGAATACAAAGAGTATGAAGAAAGGTACCCACTAAATGTCTTGCCCTTTCACCAACTTCAGTTCAAAGTGAAATTCCACTTGTTATTACAAATGTAAAATAGTGATCACAGGAGTAAGTTAACAGTTGTCAAATGCTGAGAAACTGGTTTCTGTGCTGTAATTTCAAAGGTTCAAATTTTTCACTACTAAAAATTTAATAATGACTTATTTTCTTAGGGAATTCTAAATTCATTCTGATATCCCAGAAGTACATCTAAGATGGTGATATTCAGCTTCAGTCAAGTATTGATTTTAACACTGGGTGAGTCAGCTAAATATATCCAGTGCATTCAAAATTAATAAATATCTTTTGTATAGAGAGAGGATACCAAACATTATCAAATGAAACTAGGAGAATATTACATTACCTGTCTGTGAGAGGCTGGGAGGGCATTCTTTTACTCAGTGATGGAAGATCCAAGGAATCTGGTTTCTTATCCATTCTGCAACATGCTTGGATATTTAAGTACTTAAATATGTGTACTTTACCCTTTAAACAGATCTGTTAACAAATAATAGAGAAAACAGACTTAATTATGTAGTTCAATATAAAGGCCATCTTATTAATTATTTATACATTTTAATAATCTGAAATTATGTTGCAACATCACAATCTTGATAGATACTTTGCATATTTAAATCATTTATAATCTGACACTAGGTAAAAAAATATGACAACACTGATATCAACTAAAATTCTATTGCCATCTCTGTTCTTATTAGAAAAAATCAATTAAACAATTTTTCTATAATTCACAGAAGTTTTCTTGATAAAAGCAAATTGTACAAACCACTAAACAACATAAAATTTGACGATTCAAGGAAGGTGCCTTTATTAGAGAGCACTCAAAGGAAATATACTCATTGCAGTGTTGAGACCAGAACAAATAATACACGTAATTCTTCAAAGTAATCTCATCAGAACCACTAAAATGTTTGGTGTAAGCATTATACAGGTAATCCAAAGAATCTAAAAATAGGAAAAATGAATTTACTGGAGGATGAGAGCATAGGCCAGTTAGAATAAAATAATAAAAGAAAATATTGGTCGACTGAACTAGGATAATTCACTGGTGAAGAAAAAAAGGAATAATGCAAGGTAAAACTCTACGTGAAAGAAAGTATTCTTCTGTATAAGAAAGATGGAAAATGACAGATAAGGAAAAAGCAAGTCAGCTTTATGAAGGTTAATTACAGTCATGATGAGTGAAATCAAATAAATCTCTCTCAAAAATTCTAATTAAAAATGTTTTGTTTTATGGGCTCACAGTACAAACTTATAACACATGCAAAAATAATTAACAATTCAAGAGAGTTTATTGATTACTATTAACAAAGACAACTACACTAAAAAGCAATTATCATTCCAGGTGAAAAATAATAATGTTTCTTAAGGTCTGATCTGACCACTGAAAATTTTCAGTTAAAAGGAAAAGAAGAACCTTTGAGCTACTAGAATATAAACACATCAATTACCAATTAAAATGTGCTAAATAGTATCCTATCCAAACTAAACAAAAATTTATCACAATAGTCCAATCCGCAAGCAATAATGGGGATGGTGCATATCTGAGTTATCTAGTGCCGCTATAACAAAAATACCAAAAGTGGATGACTTTAACAAACAGAATTTATTCTCTCACAGTCTAGGAGGCTAGAAGTCCACATTCAGGGTGCCAGCTCCAGGGGAAGGCTCTGTCTGCTCTGGGGGAAGGTCCTTGGCATCAATCTTCCCCTGGGTCTTGGAGTTTCTCAGCACAGGGACCCCGCATCCAAAGGATGCACTCTGCTCCAGCTCTGCTTTCTTGGTGGTAGGAGGTCCCTCTCCTCTCTGCTTGATTCTCTCTTATATCTCAAAAAAGATTGACTCAAGATACAACTTAATCCTGTAGATTGAGTCCTGCCTAATTAACATAACTGCCTCTAATCCTGCCTCCTTAACATCACAGAGGTTAGGATTTACAACACATACGAAAATCACATCAGATCACAAAATGGTGGACAACCACACAACACTGGGAATCATGGCCTAGCCAAGCTGACACATATTTTTCGGGGACATAATTCAATCCATAACATTCTACTCTTTGGCCTCCAAAAATTCATGCCCTTGCCACATGTAAAACACATTCACCCCATCATATCATCCCAAAAGTCTTAAATCAACTCCAAGTCCAAATTCCATCCTGGTGATAAATTCCTCTTCATCTGTTAAATCTAGAATACAAGTTACCTACTTCCAAAGTACAACGGTGAAACAGGCACAAGCAAGACATTTCCATTACAAATGGGAGAAATCAGAGGCAAAGAAGGGATAACAGGTACCAAGCAAGTCAGCAGAACACACTACATTAGCTCTCAAGGCTTGAAAATAATCCTGTGTTCTTTGAGACCATTTAGACAATGGCCTTGCCCTCCAGACTCTAGATATTGGCCACGCTCTCCAGATTCTGAGTGGAGGTCCCTCAGCCCTGGGCTTCAGCTCCACCTTCCAGGCCCACTGGAACAGCAACTCTGCTCCCTTGGCTTTGGGCTGCCCCATTCTCCTAGTCCCTCTGAGTGGTGACCCCACCCCTTTGGCCCTGGCAGGCCCCACCATTCTGCCCCTTGGGCATGGCAGTACCACCTCCTCAGCTTTGAGCAGTGGATCCGGTCCCTTCCCAGTGGCACTCATGCCAGAACTGAGTTGGTGAAGATCTGACTCTTTGAAACCTAGGAAGCTCTGGTCCCACCCTTTGAGACCCCAGAGGTTGTGGCCCTACCCTTTGAGACTGAGGCAGCTCTGCTTCCTGTGCTCCTTGTCTGGTCAGCATCTGCTTCCCAGTTCGTTGGCCTCTTGGCCCCTCGGATCTCTTGGGCCAGCCCAGAGTCTGCCTTGCTTGGGCAAGTGTTCCAAAGCTCTTTAGCTCTACCAGTAAGTACCTGGAAGTACCCACTCCGGCACTTAACCTCGGCCAGAAGGCACTCGGTTCTCTTGCTCCGGAGGTCTGCAAGCCTAGCTCCACCAATTAAGTGCTCCAAGGCACCCCATTCCACCAGGAAGCCTCCTGCCTGAAGGCACGCAGCTCTCTTGCTCCATAAGTCAGCTCCTGCGCCGTCTCATGCCAGTCTCCTGGTTCTGCTGCTGCCATTTCTCTGCTGTTGCTTCTTGCCGTCTACACTGTCTCCGGTGTTAAAGCTCTCCTCAGCTCCTTCTGAGCCCTCACCAGAATTGTCTTTGGTGTCCATAATTCCACCAACAGTCTCTTCAAGGCAATCTAGGCATTTCCTATCAGGCACTTGAAAACTCTTCCAGCCTCTACCCATTACTCAATTCCAAAACCACTTCCACATCATAGGTATCTGTTAGAGCTGTAACCCACTCCCAGTACCAAATTCTGTCTTAGTTATCTAGTGATGATATAAAACAAATACCACAAGTGAATGGCTTTAACAAACAGAAATTTATTTTCTCATAGTCTAGGAGGCTAGAAGTCCAAATTCAGGTGCCAGATCCAAGGGAAGGCTTTCTCTGTCAGCTTTGGGAAAGGTCCTATTCATCAATCTTCCCCTGGGTTTAGGAGCTTCTCAGTGTGAGGACCCCAGGTCCAATGTACGTGCTCCACTCCCAGCTCTTCTTTCTTGGCGGTAGGAGGTCCCTCTCCTCTCTGCTGGAGTCTCTCTTTTATAACTCAAAAAAGACTGACTCAAGATACAACCTAATCCAGTAGATTGAGTCCTGCCTCATTAATATAACTGCCTCTAATCCTGCCTCACTAACATCATAGAGGTTAGGATTTACAACACATAGGGAAATTGTATCAGATCACAAAATGGTGGACAACCATATAATAGTGGGAATCATGGCCTAGCCAAGTTTACACATATTTTGGGGGGCACAATTCAATCCGTAACAGTGCAGAACCAGGCAACATTTCATTCCATTGTGCACGGGGTCGCCATGAGTCGGAGGCCTAACAACAACCTAACCATGGCAGCTAACAAAAATCACCACTAAGTTAAAGCCTGGTAAATTATTTTCTTTTGTAAATTTAATTTTCATTTAAATCACAATAATTCATTTACATGGTTTTAAAAATCAAACAGGGTTACAAAACTAGTAACAACAAAAAAAACATAATTCCTCTTTTCATCCCTTTTAATCCCCAAGATCCAATCTCTACTTTCAACTCTTTTCTGGTTTTCTACTATTTCCAACAGTTATAAATAACATGCTTTTTAATTTTTCAATTACAGGTCTTAATTACTGAGATCTTATGAAGGGAGATGAGGACTTAGATTTCTTACATTACCACTACCACCACCACCATCATATACCACTGCAGCAGCCGCTACAATCCCCACTCCCACTCCTCACCCACTCATATAAACATACTTCCCCTCTTCTCAGTATTATAGCATAGTGGTTGAAGAGCATGGACTCTAGATTCAGACTGCCTGGGTTGGAATCCTGGCTCTACCACACACTAGCCATGTGACTTAGGACAAGTCATTTAACTTCCTTGTCTGTTTCATCATACATAAAATGAGGATAATGATATTGTTAGCTGCCATAAAGTTGGCCTCCAACTCATGGTGACCTCATACACAATGGAACAAAACACCACCCCATGATCAGTTGCAGAACACATCGTTGTGATCCATAGTTTTCATTGGCTGATTTTTGGAAGTAGATCTCCAGGCCTTTCTTCCTAGTCCATCTTAGTCTGGAAGTGCTGCTGAAAGGTATTCATTATCATAACACGCAAGCCTCCATTGATAGATAGGTGGTAGCTGCACATGAGATGCACTGGCTGGGAACGGAACTGGGTTTCTCGCGTGGAAGGGCAAGAATTCTACCACTGAACCACCAATGTCTCCGAGGATAATGACAGCACCTGTCTTACAGGGTTGCTGTAAATATTAAATGAGTTAATATATGTAAAGCATTTTCAACAGTGCCTGGAGCACAGTAAGTATTATTATAGCTATGTCACAATTTTTCATTAAATCAAAATCCAGTATTTACATTATGACCAAGAAAATATTCATAGATGAGCCATATAGAATAGTAAGATTATAATTTCTTCTATCACTTTTTTCCTTTTACATAATTTTCTATATGTTTATTACTAATTCATTCCCAGACTTTCTGAAAGAACTGTAAAACATCTCTCCGTACACATCAAGTCATCTATCAGCTTCTTTCTTTCTTTTTTGGAGACAACTCCCCTACTCAAAACCAACTAGTTGCTCTCTACCGCCCTCAACACCTATGCATACCTGTCAGTCTTGGATATTAAGACTGTCTCTTAGTTTACTCCCTCATTTTGATGTAGCACATTCTCTGCTGGCTTCCTAAGACAGGGCGCATGGGATTTAAAATTTCTGAGAACTTGTATGTTTGAAACCGCCTTTTTTTCTACCTCACACTTAACTGGTAGTTTGAGTGTAGAAAGTTGGAAATATTCCCTCAGTCTTTTAAGGCATCATTTTTACATCTTCTAGCTTCCAGTGCTAGATTATCATGCCTATGAAATGTGACCCATTTTGTTTCAAAAGAAGCCTTTAAGTGTTTTGGTCTTTGTGTTTCATGTTAGAGATTATTCCTGCAATGTCTAGTAATTGTTGGCTGTCCATTTTCAAGAGTGAGTCAATAAGAAGCCAACTGGAAGCTCTGTTTACGGGGGGAAATTTACTGACAGTGGGCCTTACTGGTGATCAGACAAGGCCTAGTCATTTCAATAAGGGGACCCTACATACATGTGTGCGTGTCTTTTCTCCTGGTTCAATCATTTTACCAAGAGAGAAATCCAACAATGTCCTGCCTGAGATACATAAGATAGGCTGGAAGCCAAGCAAGAAAAGTGGACTGGAATGTATCAACATTCAGTATGCAGACATTCACTGTTTTCAATATAGAGTTTCATTCCTATCCACAGATGTGCATGAAGCCCCTGACTCTAGAGCCTCTCGAGTTCAATCTCTCTACAGCTGCGCTGTCCAATATGGTAGCCACTAGCCATGTGAGGCTATTTAAATTTAAATTAATTAAACCTAAATAAAATTAAAAATCTAATTCTTCTGTTACACTATCCACTTTCAAGTGCTCAACAGCCCCTTGTGGGCTACATATTGAACAGTGTAGATATAGAATATTTCCATTATCCCCAGAAAGTTTTAATGGACAGTGATGCTCTAAACACTAAACTCCAGGATTCTGCTGAGACAATGGAAGGACAGTAATTTGGCTGCTGAGCTGAGAGAGAATCTGAGGTTCTACCTATTCCTTAAAGTAATCTCCAGTCTTCTGCTCAACCAAGGGAGCTGCTGGGTAAAGGCAAGGCTCTGAGGATATAAATGTTCCTCAGACCTATGCTGTCCAATATGGTAGCCACTAACCACACATTACCTATTTAAATTTAAATTAATCGAAGTAAAATAAAACAAAAAAGTTACTCCCTCAGTTGCACTAGCCATATTTCAAGCACTCATTTGCCACATGTGGCAAGTGGCTAGCATATTGGACAGCACAGATTATAGAACATTTCCATCATCACAGAAAGTTCTACTGGACAGCGCCTGGACGTTCAACAATCTTCCTATATTCAGCTCCTCGTCCGTATGTTCAAAGTTACCTGGTTCTTTCAATTCCCATACCACTTCCAGGTTTGACAGAGTAAACTGACTTGCTGCTTGTTGCTTTCTCCCACCAGATAAAAATTTCAACTTTCTTCATTCTGCTAAGGCAGCCATTAGCAAGATCTGTGATGGTTAGATTTTTGTGTCAACTTGGCTAGGCTATGGTTCCTAGTGGTTTGGCCAAACACTAGACTAGTTGTTTTTCTGTGATGGGGGTGGGGCAGGGTGGGGTGGGGTGTTGTGTGGTGTGATGTGATGTGATGTAATCAATCAGCTGTAAATGGAGTTTTCTTAGCTGTGTTCTGCCCTTAGACTATAAATAAATATTTTGGCAGAAATTTCTCTCTCTCTCCACTCAGCACGCTTTCCATCATCTGACCTACAGATCTTGGGACACAAGCCTGAAAAAGTCTCTAGCCTGCTGTCTGACCTACAGATTCTTGACTTGTTAGCCCCACAACTGCATGAGCCAATCTCTTGAAGTACATCAATGTCAATCTTAATCTCTCTCTCTTATTCTATGTACATATGTGTGTGTGTCTGTATGTCACTGGCTCTGCTTTTCTAAAGGACCCTAAGACAGGATCCCAGCCAGCCTTTGTGTGAATCAGAATAAGCACCTCCTCTGGAATGAGTAGACTGTAACTTTGTGGGAAGAAAAAGGTAACCCTTTCCTCTGGATATAAACAACGCTTGTGCCAGGGCAAATAGCTTAGAAGTAAAATGTAGGCTGGGATTTCGCTGCCATGTGACTCCTCAGCCATATACTCTTGTGCAGTGCTAAGCAGATGCCCTAGTTACCACTATCCCATCTATTTTCCATTTTCCAAAATTCTGTTGACATCTCTCCCATGTTGGTCTCTTCTCTCTCATTCTTTTTTCCTTATGGGTTTATATCTTATTCTTTTACTATCACTTGAGTGGATTTCAAATGGATTTGTTGTTGTTAGCTGCTGTCAATTCCTACCCTATAGGGTTTTCAAGGCTGTGATCTTTTGAAACCGGACTACGAGGCCTTGCTTCTGAGGCACCTCTGGGTGGGTTTGAACCATCAATCTTTCAGTTAGTAGCCCAGCGCTTAACTATTTGCGCCACCCAGAGACATGGATTTAATCTTCATTAAATCAAAAACCTTATTTAGTTTTGTATCTTGTTCTTTGTGTTATAGTTCCATCTATCAGTGCCAAGTATGTGCTCCAATCAATCATACAATAAATTCCAACTAGATACATACCTGAGTAGGAGACGGGTAGAAAGCAAGACTTCCTAGTCTATCCTAACATAATACTGACAATCGGAATTATCAGTTCATGAACAAAAAGTAATAAGGGTTTTCCAAATCCTGTTCTAGAGCTTAAGCTAAAACTCCAACCAAAGCCAAAAATTTACTTCCGAGAAAAACTCCCATAGACAATAGTACCTGAACAACAAATTAACTCCTAATCTTGGTGTTTTTTATTTACCAGTAACAAAGAGATATAATTATGAATGGAAATAAGAAGAAATAAGTATCATAGTTTTATTACAAACCTGTGCTGGTGGTACCTGCAATGGATTGTTATCCAAAATCATTACTTGTAAATGATGCAACTTCCTGTAACAAACTGGAATCTCTGTCACTTTGTTACAAGAGAAATCCAGCTTGACTAGGGGAAGATCTCCTAATTCTGTTCAAAAAAGAAAAATAATTATATTAAATTTCATATAGTCACTTTTATTCATGTCAGTAAAAATAGCGAACATCTTACCATCTGGCAACATGCGAAGACTATTTCTTCTTATATTTAGCTCTCTAAGTGAATGTAATTTCCCCATTTGTTGGGGAAGGACCTGAATCTCATTGCAGCTAATATCCTAAGGAAAACAAGAAAATAAAATTATAACAAACTGAGAAATACAGGTATATTCCAATTTTTAAATTAAAGCACATTGTTAATAACTAGTAAAAGTTACCTATAGTGTCATTTCTCTAAAGATAGATTATCTGGAAGATTTCTATTATATCATGAAGTAACCTAGCACAGTCAACATAAGTTTTTCTGTACAAAAGTTTGAGGTTATAACTTAGAAATATATAAGTCAACATCTAAAGGCCAACTCTCACCAACTAAAGCCAGAAGTAGGGATGCTCCAGGTGCCTTTCATGCAGAGGTTAAATTGCTAACAATTACCAATCATTGTGATAATCTGTCAATTATTGTTTTGAGATACTTGATTGGGCAGAAAGCTGAGAAATTCAAGGATTTACTGATGTGAGCTGGGGAACCAAAGACTATGATCGGGATTGATTTAACTAAACTTCCTTCACCAAAGGGATACAAAACATGAGGGATTACAAACTCAAAGATTTGATTTGTGGGTTACATCAAAACCCAAAGACATTCTAAGATATCTGAATGAGAAATCCCCTGGGTTAAGTTAAAATGCAAAGCCCTGCTTTAAAGGTAAACAATATCAAGCTTCTATAATAAGAGAAAAAGAATAGCTTAAGTTAACTGTGTTCTCGCCCTCCCCCCTTTCCTGTAACCACATCAACAAGAAGGGAAGAAAAATCTGCAACATGATCTCAGGCAGCAGGCATTCTAGACACACTGCAAATGAAATTCATGTTCTACTGCAATAGCCCCCAGTTTCCAGCTTTCACTGAAAATGATATTAGCTTGGAGAGAGGGGAGTGGAGCATACATTCAGTTTTTATCAAAAGTAAAGAAAGGTGCCTGCTAACTCTATCAAACATTCTAATCAGGGTCACAATAGATGGATTCTCATAGAAAGGGTAAAAATGTGGGCCAGAACTTCAAATTCTCAAAATATCCAGACTTACTAGACCCACTGAGACAGAAGGAATCCCCAAGACTATTGCCCTGAGATACCCTTCAAACCATGAACCAAACCTATCCCCTGAAGTCACCTTTTAACTAAATAGCAGGTTAGCTCAAAAAAGTACAGAATGTCACCCTTGAGTACTGCACTGTTTTAAAAAATTATCTGTATGAGACCAAGTGGTCAACAAGTTACTCTAAAGCATGGATGAGAAAGTTGGGGGGCACTGAGACTAAGTTAATGGGAATGGAAGAACTAGAACAAAAATAATGTGAATATTGATACAATGTGAAGAGTGTAACCAATGTCCCTGAACCATATGAACAATATGTGTAGAAATTGTTGAATGGGAACCTGTTTTGCTGTGTATGCTTTCATCAAAAATACAATGTTAAATAATAAAAAAAGGTAAAGAAAAGCAGGAAAGGTGTTGAATAGGAAAATTAATAACAGATATCTTACTTTGATTTTAAGGTTTTTCCTATCCACAAAACCAAATATAAACTATAAAAAGCCTGACCCAAACTGCTAATACCTGCAGGGAAACTGCTCTACAGCAACGTAAATTTGTCTTATCCTGCTAGAAAAGGATAGTTGTCAAACCATTACCTCCTAATTTAAATCTCAAAAGGTCTCCTGGCTGCAGGTGGGTGGAGGATCAAATTATTAGCAGCCAGGCCAGAAGTAACCTCATATCAGTTGATCTCAGTAAAGGGGGTGGGGGGAGGCAGGGTTCAATCAATCACGTTAAGATTAGCCAATGGTTGATTTTCTATATTTCTCTCTCCTCTTCTCTTTATAAGCCTCATTGTACCTATCTTCTTGAAGTCATTTGCTTTTTCTGGGATCAAAATGGTCTCCATATATGCATATAGAATAACTGCTCAGAATAAACCTTATGTTCCAATTTCGGTGAGTTTTTATTACTTTTAACAAGAGTAAATTCAAAAAAATATTAAAGCCATGTAAGGAAGAATCCAACAAAGCTACAGATATGTAGAAAATGCATCTTACATACTTCTTTCAAACAATATCTAATATATCTTCACTCGACAACAAATGTTTATCCTATTTGCTAGGCACTGTTCTTGGTGCTGGGGATACATCAAAGAACAAAACAAAAATTCCTGTCCTCATCCCTCCTCATAGAGCTTACATTCTAGAGATGGGAGTAGGTTAAATAACATGCAAGAGGGTGATAGGTGCTATGAAAAATAGAAACACAGCAGAGTAAAGGAAAATGACAGTGTTGTACATAGTGGGGGCAGGGGGGGAATAGCAGCAATTTTGATTGTCTCATGGAGGCGATATTTGTCTCAGGGAGAAGGTGATATTTGACCAAGTGTTGTCAGAGCTGAGAGAGTGAGCCATGCCAATGTATAAGAAAGGAGCATTCCAGACAGAAAGAACAATAAATGTAAAAGCCTTTAGGCAGCACATGCCTGGTGTGTACGGAAAACAGCAAGAAATCCAGTGAGACAAGGTGGGAATGGGCCTCCGGGGAAAGAGCAGGATCGGGGAGGGGTTATGATTTTGGCTTTTATTCTTAGAGACATGGGCAGGAAACAGAGACTTTTGAACAGAGTAACGACATGCTATAACTTACATTTCAACAAAATCATGTTAGCTGCTATGTTGAAAATAGACTATTATCCAAATGATAAATAATAAAACTATGAAGAAATGCCCTTTAAAGTAAATACTATTGCTTCTTCCCAAAGATGCCTAATACTAAAGACTTCAATAGAAAGTTGATAGTTGGCTGCCATATATTTTTCCCAAAAGATATAAAATGCAGTCATAGGAAACTCACCCATTCACCAATAGACACTCACAATTTTAATACTCTGCTAAGAATTAGAGGCCAGAGAGTTTTTCCTAGGTTTCTAATGACAGAATTGCATGCTAGTTGGTTACCACATTCTTGTTGAAGAGTGTCATGGGAAAATATCTCAATGACTGGGAATACCCACAAATTCATTACATTATTTACAGTTGTCAATTAGCCATCCTAATGATATCTACCCATCCACTGTTACTAATTTCAAGAGTTTAAAGCATAATAATTTTATAGTGCCTAGTAAAATAATGGTATTGAATATATTTTTTTAATATTCTAGTTAAATAAAAATATTAGAATAAATTTTGAGACCCTAAATATTATTAACATTTCATTCATCCAAAACTATCTCATGTAATATAATTTAGAACATGGGGCCAAAAACTGAATGAAAAAGAAAAGAAAAAGAAATCACAGAGCCACAGAATCTTAAAGTATAATATCTATAAAATCTTTAAATATCTATAAAATCTTTACAAACACTAACAGTGTCCAGGACAAAGAAGGTAATGGTCCCCATTTATTATGAACTTGTTAGATCACATCTGAATCTTCTGTTCACTTGTAAGTACAACATTAAAAGAGACCTTAACAAAGGGTACATTTTTAGGACAGAAGTAACTAACTAAAAAGTCATAGGAATGAATTAAGGTAATAAGGATGTTTAAGCTGCAAAAAAAAGCAGGTCTTTGGTAAAACGGATAGTAGACACATGACAGATTACAAATATCTGAAGGGAAGAGAGGTTGTCATTATCTATCTTTTTGACATGGTAGGGCCAGGACCATTGGATAGAAGTGAGGTATTTTGGCTCAAAGTAATAAAGATCACTAAAAGTTTTGCAAAGAAGAATTAGGGCTGTCACACACACACACACACACAGAGTTGTCCAAGACTCAAAACATGCAAGTAGATGTGTTAGTGATTACTGTATTACGAAAGGGTTATATCCAATCACTTCTAAGATCTCTTACAACCTCAAAATGCTATGGCTCTAAAATACAACAAGTCAAAGTTCAAGGAAAGGTTCCTTATGTTATTAACTGCACATGTACAGATATTCCTTAATAATTATTAAAGTATAACTGTACATGTATTCTTCAATGAATAGAAGAAAGTCATTCCTGAAATCTCTGCTCATTACATTTTATTTGTACATTAATTCCCCATTAGAAAATTGTACATAAGTTCCTCAGGAAAACTTCTGGCTCTCAAGACAATAAAGTCATACTTAATGCTTTTAAGCAGCAAAAGACAAAACAGATAAATGAAATCTCATAAAAATTATATACTTTTTTATCAAAGGACTTTATCAAAAAAATGAAAAGAAAACCTACAGATTGGGAATAAATTTTTCAGGAACCATATATCCAATTATATATATATTTTATATATATATAAAACACTTCTACAACAACAAAAAGACAAACCACTCAATCAGAAAATGGGCAGAGGACCCCTATAAGACAGAGTAGAACTGCCCCATAGGTTTTCCAAGGAGTGGCTGATGGATTCAAACTGCCGACCTTTTGGTTAGCAGCTGTAGCTCTTAACCACTGTGCCACCAGGGCTCCCAATAGACATTTAAAAAAAAAAAAAAACCCACTTCCGTCAAGTGGATTCCAACTCATAGCAACCCTATAGGACACAGTAGAACTGTCCCACAGGGTTTCCAAGGAGCAGCTGGTGGATTTGAACTGTCAACCTTTTGTTTTCTTTTTTTTTACTTTATTAAAATACTGTTTTTTATTTTTTAATAGTACTTTAATACAACCAGAATGCGCCTTAGAAGCAAGGATGGCGAGACTACATCTCACATACTTTGGACATGATATGAGGAGGGATCAGTCCCTGGAGCAGGACATCATGCTTGGTAAAGTAGAGGGTCAGCAACAAAGAGGAAGACCCTCAATGAGATGGATTGACACAGTGGCTGCAAGAATAGGCTCAAGCATAGCAACAATTGTGAGGATGGCACAGGACTGGGCAGCGTTTCACTCTGTGGTACATAGGGTCACTGTGAGTTGAAACCTACTCAGCAGCACCTAACAACAACAACAAAATACTGAGTTTCTTTCACATGTATATTTTTGTCTTCCCACCATTTCCATTTGTCTGACCACTGCTACTACTATGTCCTATCAAAACATTTCATACATACTTAAAACCAAGCAAAGGGTGGAGTTCCATCTTTAACAACTAAACAGGCATTTTGGGTAACACATTATTGGCAAAGGAACCTGGACAACATTTATCAGACATGGTAGGGAAAGTTCTCACTCTGCATTATAAAAAGAACAGCCAGATATCAACTGTTACAGAAATGAAGTAAGATGGGAAATTTTAACAAACAGTTTAAACTATTTTCTTAAAGAGACTTCCTCCACTGCCAGAGATCCTGAATAGCCTCCTGGTCAGTCATTCGGAAGCAATTCTTCACGTAATTGATGAATCTGGCTTCCAATTTGGGAAGAGAATCACCTTTTTCTATACTTTCTTGCATTTTTGCTTTAATGTCTTCTACAGAACTAGGTCCTTTCAGTGTTTTAAGAGTTTTTTCCTGTTTTTTGAAAGATTCTTGACCTTTTGACCTTGACGTTGATGGTTCTGAGTCTTTTCCATTCTGGTTTGATTTTTGTGCACTTTTGGCTGGAGTATCTAGCACAGATTTCTTCACTGGAACTTTTCGGTTTCTTCATCATCAAAATCATCATCATCATCATCATCATCATCATCTTCATCAGCAGCAAGTTTTACTTTTTTCTGTGGAAACTTGCTACTACCTGCAGGGACAGATCGCTTTTCTGATATACTTAAGAGTTTCACATCCTCATCTCACTCTGCATCTTCCTCCACAGCTACTAAGTGCTGTCCACTAATATGCACAGGCCCTGAGCCACACTTCAACTGTAAGACCACAGGGGGCAGGCATTATTTCAAAACCTCCAAGGGATACCGTTGGCTATACAGACATTTTCAAAGTTGCCAGTGTTACTTTAATTGGGCTGCATCATAATTCACTGCCTCTGCTTCAACAATGTTCGATTCATCCTTTGTACTACCACCTAAACTGACCGTTCTTGAAAATAACTGGTGCTCATTCTCATCCTTATCTACCTTAAAGTGATAATCTTTGTCGGCCTTTAGTTCACAACCGAAAAGATAGTTTTGGGGCCTCATGGGGCTCATGTCCGTGTCCACTGAATCTTCCATGAGGTGGTGGCACACACTTAGGTGGGAGAGGAGGACAGAGAGAAACCACTACAGCTGCTGAAAACAGCTGTACAGGATGGAATCACACCAGGGATGAACTGCTGACCTTTTGGTTAGCAGCTGAGCTCTTAACCACTATGCTACCAGGCCTCCATTAGCCATTAGGAAGATGCAAATCAAAACCACAATGCGATACCACCTCACTCCTATTAGAATGGCAATGATAAGGAGGGGGACAATAGATGTTGGCAAGGTTGTGGAGAAACTGGAACCCTCATCCATTGCTAGTAGGAATGTAAAATGGTATAGCCACTGTGGAAAACAACTTGGCGGTTCCTCAAAAAATTGAACACAGAATTACCATATGAGCCAGGTATCCCAATCCTAAGTATACATCTAGAAGAAGTGAAGGCAGGAATGCAAACAGAAACCTGTAAGCAATGTTCACTGCAACACTCTTCACAATAGCCAAAAGGTGAAACGACTGAAATGTCCATCAACAGATGAATGGATAAAAAAAAATGTGGATAAACACAATGGAATACTATTCAGCCATAAAGAGAAATGAAGTCCTGATGCATTCCACAACATGGAAGAACCCTGAAAATATCAGGCTGAGTGAAATAAGTCAGTCACAAAAGGACAAATATTGTATGACCTCACTTACATGAAATAAGCAAATATATAAAAACCAAAGACTATTAGTGGTTACCACTGATGGAAGGGAGGGGGAAACACCATGTTCCCTAAGCAAAAACTCCCCATTGCCTTCTCCCCTGGAAGGATTTGGAGAAGAATAGCAAGAATGGTTGCACAACCTGAAAAATGTAATCAATGGCACTGAATTGTACACGTAGAAATTATTGAGTTGCTGTATGTTTTGTTATGAATATTTTCACCACAACAAAAAAACTTTAAATATACTTTAAAAATACCTATTTACTGTGAAAGTGTTACCCAGGATAAACTGGAAAATAAAAATAAACAGTGTGGCATATTCCAACTCATAGTGACACTATAGGACAGAGTAGAACTTCCCCATAGGGTTTCCAAGGAGCAGATGGTGGATCTGGACTGCCGACCTTTTGATTAGCAGCGGAACGCTTAACCACTTCGCCACCAGGGCTCCTGTATATTGTGTAAGGTGGTGATAACTCAAAGATGTGAAAACAGCTCAGTGCTCTGAGAATCCAATTAACGTCTCTCTCAGAGATCAATGTTGTTTAACACCTCAAATGTTATGTTCAAGATAATTACTTTAAATTATTCCTATATTTCTACAGTCTATTGCATACCAATCAACTGTCTCTATTTTTCTTGGTTTCAACATGTTATAAAATCACGAGGATATAGGAAAGTAAAGGTTATTTTGTTCATACTTTTTCCAGGCTTCTATTGTCTTTTTATTCCCTTTACGTGAGGCTCTCACAATACACCTGTAATACCTTTAAAAAAATAAATAAACAAACTTATTTTCTCCCTAAGACCTTTACTGTCCACAAAATGGATAAATAAATGTTTATTAGTTTGAAAAACATTTCTTATAGCTTGTAAACCAGCTTTCTGCCCTCACTAGGACTGAGGAACAACCAGGCTTTATTTGTGACCAGGAGATAAAATGAGACATAATAATGGTATCTCGAAATTTTACTAAAGTGAACTTAGACGTATACAAAGTTATTAGTATTATTATTATTAAATTACAATGAAATTCCAAAGAAGAATGAGTAATATTCCTCATGTAAGGTAGTATAAAGTATAAGCGTATATAGTATGCATATTATATGCAATTAATACGACCATTTTACTCACCAATTCCATTAAATCTTTTAACTTCCCAATTTCTTCTGGAATGGATACCAGTTTATTATTACTGACAACCAAAACTTTAAGGGGGAGATCGAACAGGTATTTTGGCAGTGTTGATAAAAGATTTCGACTGAAAAGAATAAGAAGTCTCATTATAAAAATATGTCTGAAACCTCACAGGTTACGTTGAAAAAGAACAAATCGTCTGGAGAGTAAATAATAGTTTTCACTAAATAACTATCATTTAATGAGTGCTTACTTTGTCTCAGATATGGTACTATATTCCCTACATGCACTATCTCAATCCTCACATTAATTTCACAAGACAGGCAGTATTATTATCTCCATTACACACATAAGAAAACAAAGGATAAAACTGGGTAAGTGATTTGCCCAAGCACAAGCGAGATTTAAATGTTAAGTCTGACTGCAAAGCCTGTGCTATTACTTATGATACTGTCTGACCAGTTCTCAAAAACCCAGAATGATTCTTGTAGGCTGGAAAATGACAGAGACTTTCTCTCTGGTATAATTTCATTATATGCAATACTTCCATGTCTCTTACTGGGAAAAGTCTCCACAAAATTGCATGTGCTATGTTGACATTTATAAAAGAAAAAATAAGATTGTATGTTCAGAAACATGAAGTGACCATAATCCATTCCTTTTTGGTATGGTTTATGGTAGAAAAGCCTACTAGCACCTTTATCTCAGCTCTAAGTTGATGCAACAATCCTATCTCCATGTTCACATTTAAAGATAAAAACAATTAACATTTATTGAGTGCTTACCATGTGCCAGACCATATTCAGAGCACCTCACATGAATTAATTCAACCAGTCCTCACAACAGGGGCGTTGGTGGTTCAGTGGCAGAATTCTCACCTTCCATACAGAGATTCTCGACCAATATACCTCATGCGCAGCCACCACCTCTCCATCAGTTGACGCTTGTAGTGTTGCTATGATGCTGAACAGGTTTCAGTGGAACTTTTAGACTAAGACAAACTAGGAAGAAGGGCCTGGCAGTCTCCTTCCAAAAATCAGCCAATGAAAACCCTAAGGATCACAACAGTCTGATCCACAACCAATCATGGGCATGGTGCAGGAGGAGCTGGCAGCATTTTGAGCCATTGTACATGGGGTCACCATGATTTGGGGGCGAGAGGAGCTAACAACAACAATCCTTTTTATGAAGATATACTAGTTGCCACTGAGCTGATCCCGACTCATGGCAACCCCATACGTGTCAGAGTAGCACTATGCTCCGTAAAGTTTCCAATGGCACCTCTGGTTGGACTCAAACCTACAACCTTTTGGTTAGCAGTCAAGCACGTTAACCATTTGCACCACCCAGGGACTCCCATATGAAAATAGATACTATCATGACACCCCATTTTACAGATGAAGAAACAGCCACAAAGAGATTAAGTAACCTGCTCAAAGTCACACAGCTGGTAAGTGGTAGAGCCAGGATTCAAATCCAGGAAATCAGGCTCTAGGGCCCTTACCCTCAACTACTACGGTCAAATTCGTATGCCAATGCACAGACTACCCCAAATGATCCCACTTCCAAAAATATAAAGTGTTTTCATACTAACAAGCACTGATAAGCAATAAGCTATTATTTTTCCAGTTTTTCAAAGTGACACAGACCTGTGCCCACCATTTTGTGCAACACGCATAGGAAAAAAAAACCCAGTGTTTCTCCAAAAGGGGGAAAGCTTCAAAACCCTTCATCCCATTCTATCCCTGCAGAGAACATCCAGAAACACCAGGCTGGCTTTACATGGCACAAACTGACTTCTTTTTTTTTTTTTTTTTTTTAAAGCAATGCCTCTAGACTAGCAATCCTGGCCAAGCTGCTGGAATGTCAAATATGCTAGAGGCCTATCACAAACCCTTGATACTTTCAGCATGAAGTGGGCTCCTTGGGAAAGTGGCCTACGTGGGCCCCTTCACACTGGAGTACACTCGGATCTTCCTGGATTATTCTACTGAAAAAGGAAAGAGTATACAGGAAGAGAGAAACTGCTGAAAAAGCATCTTACAGGTTTATCAAGACATTTTCACTGAAATAAAAATAATTAAATGGGAAAAATAGTGGCACACACAAACTCATTCTAATCCGCCATTAGGCCAAAAAACGTAAAAAAGTGACTTATCGTCTTCCCTTAGTAAGCAGGTTCATAGAGTAAGCACAGTCAGCAAGAGCTGGCTTCTTCATATATAGCTGATAAATCAGTAATTTCCACTTTTTTTCTACTTGTTCAGAGACAGCCAAAAGAAGTCAGTCACTAAAACAAATGTTACTTCAACACGGTTTGTTAAAAAAAATTTATGACCGAAATGAAAATCAGAAGTCCACTTTTAGAGATCAAAACAGGAAAGCTTCAAAGAAAGTTTTAGTAAAACTATTCTAATAAATACCTTACATGTTAATATAGAAATGTAATTCAGTTTTTGACAAATCAGATTTTTCCATCTAATTTTTTCCATAAAAGGACAAAATAAAGACAAAATTAAAAATACCTCACTTGCGTCAATACTCTCCCAAGCCAGGCCAATGAGACACATACCCATTTACAGGAAGGAGCAGCCCAAATGACTGATTCCTACGGAAGGAAATTTCTCTCACATGTTTTAAGGTGTAAGGTGCTTTCAGTTAAAATAGTATATACTGCCAGATGACACCACTGGGGGAGACATATATAAGAATTAACATATCAGTGAGAAAGGAGCATTATTATTTATGTATATTAATTATACTTACTACTCCCCTATATGGGAATTCAGACAAGTAATTTGGTTAATGAGGGGGAAGAAATTACTTCTTCCAACTCAAACATACACCCACAGACACACACACAAAAATAATTCTAAATTTAAGTCACAACATATCAGTTTCCATTTAACGTCCCTCATATGGCAGGGCAATTTTGTTCTCATACTTATTGAATATTCGCTCTGTTATAAATATAGGGTAATAGTTAAGTATGAGAATTCTAGAGCCAAATTGCTTGGATTTGAATCTTGGCTCCACTTGCTATATATATATGTACATATATGCATACACACACACACACACACACACACACACACACACACAAGAGAGAGACTTTGGGCAAATTGCTTAATCTCTTGGTGCTTCAGTTTCCTCATTTATAATGCAGAGATAATAATAGTACCTACCACAAAATGTTGTGAAAATTAGATGAGACGATGTAAATCGTTTCGAACACTGCCTGGCACATGGTAAGCACTTACTATGTGTTAAAATCAACTGTCATCCACTTCCTAACTCTCTAACATTCCTGTATCAATCTATCCATTCTTGAAGTAGCAAAAGTGTGAAAAATATAACAACAAAAGAACTGTTTCCTTGTAATGTTTCACTTTAACTGAAGATGTATACAAATATTTATAGCTTAAAGTCTTGGGGCTCAAAGTAAGGTCTTAGGACCTACAAGCATGGGCATCACCAGGGGGCTTGTTAGAAAAGCAGGCCCCACTCCTGATCTACTGAATCAAAATCTACATTTTAGCAAGATCCCCAGGTGATTTCAGGTGCACATCAAAGGTTAAGAAGAACTATTTTCAAGAACAAGACCAAAAAAACCATGAAGTTAATATGAACATAGAAAAAATTCAAATAAGATACTGTTGAGATAAATGTAGGTTACATAGCCAAAACAAACACATTCTTTAGCTAATAAAAATGATTAGAACCATAATAAAAACCAAAATTTACCAAAGAAAACTGTTTCCTTACCTAATGTTAAGGTATGTTAACATCTGCAGGTTTTTAATGGCTTCAGGAATGATTTTGATGCAATTATGATATAAATTTAATGTTTCAAGTGGTGCAAACAACCAGATATCAGAAGGAATTTCTGTAAAACGATTTCTTGAAAGATCTGAAAAATAAAGTGTTTTGAGTGTCAAACATACACCTTTATCTATGTTAATTAACAGAATTATTTTCGTACTTGCGGAATCAGAATCTAAGCAACTACGTAAAATATTAGGAAATATTATCCACCTTGACCTTGAAGGCAAATAAATATCATTTAGAAAATAAACTCATGGAAAGCATGTTTATTAGCAATTTTTACTTGATGTGCTTCAATTATCTGTAAAATTCAAATATATTACCTTTCAAAATACCAATGAGGAATTCTCTCTGATCTTTAAAAACAAACACACACACAATAAAAACCTCCCGATACCACAGCTTCCCTGTTCACAGTCAAATTTACATAAACAATTATCCACAGCACACCTGAATTTCTTACTTACCATGGACTTCTCTACTCACTGCAAGTTGGTTTCTATTCACTCTCATGCCACCAAGGTCATCAACAGCCTTCATATCAATAACCACTCCTTCTATCTGGAAATATTCTCTTCCTTTGTCTTGGAAGACTACACTTCTGGATTTCCTCCTATTACCTATCTGGCCACTTCTTAGTCTCCTTTGCTGAATTCTCTTCTACTTGTGTCTTAAATGTTGGTGTTTCAAATGCTGGTGTTCCTAAGGGCTGTGACATGACATAAGGTACTCCTTTCTTCGCAAGATATGCACTCTACTGGATGTTTTCATCCAATCCCAGGCCTGAATTATATTTATATGCTGACAAATCTCAAATCCAGGGTATGTCTGAACACCTATTTCTGGCCTTCAGGGCTTTTCTTGATATCTCTCAAGCCTCTCAAACTCTACAAGCGAAAAATCTGAAGTGAACATCTTCTACACACCCATTTCTCTCACCAGTGTTGTCTATCTTGGACAATGTCACCAACATCCACCTATGAGCTGTTCAAAACAGAAACCTGGCATTCATCCTTGCTTCCTTCCAAGTACATAGGAATGTACTTCTATTCAAGTTTACACAAAATAAAACCATGGAATTATTATAATGATTACTCCTCTGTAAAGCATCTTTTTATTTGTTAAGCGAATTTCTGAAAAATATTTAGGAAATCATGTGGCAGGCTGACAAAAAAACAGACCCTAAAAGACAGTTTCTTAACCTCAGCATTACTGAGCTTTTCGACTGGATAATTCTTTCTTGTATGGAGCTGTCCTAGCATTGTAAGATGTTTAGCAGCATCCTTGCCCTCTATATGGTAGATGCCAGTACCACTTCCTCATTGTGACAACCAAAAATGTCCCTTGGATCACAAAATCACCCTACCCCCGTTGAGAACCATGCGTTAAACAATTATCAAATTGACTACCTTATCACAGATATATACTTTGTTTATACTAATTCATTATAGTTATTTGCTTAAAAACATAAGAATGTTCTTTACTCTGTCAGGGAAAACATCTATGGTCTAGTTTTAGCATACTATATTTGTATCTTATTTAATGTCTGGTGTCCCCTCCAGAACACCAGCAGGCTTAAAAGAAGTTGCCCTACCAATGCTCAATTTCCCATCCCATGGATGTGGCCTTTGGTCAATATATTGAATTCCCTACTCAGAACATTAAAATAAACATATGTATATATATACATACACACACACACACACACACACACACATATATATATTCTCACTAATATAAAATTTTATAGTTGGTAAAAGAAAACATTAGCTATGATTATATAATATGAACATTAAGCTGGATTCTTCTTCCTCCCACCATAGGATTCTGGATGACTTAATAAAAGGATAGACAGAATACTAGAAACTAAAAAGTGAACTTGGAACAGAGGTTTCTCACTATCCTGGCTCACCTCCTCTGGTTACCCAAGCATCATACAGTTCTATAGAGGGAAAAAAAAAGATGAAGCCACTGTTTTAGTTTAGGATATGTTTCCTTTACATTTAGGGTTTTACCTCTTATTCTTGTAACTTCAGAATCCTGGGAGTTGAAAATTACTGCTTACAATTAATTTGAAATTCTAAAACCAAAATTATGCCCAGTTTGTTATTCTTTATAATGTCTAATATTAAGTAACCATAAAGAATACAGTGGTCCCAGAGATATATTATGGTAGCCTAAATTAAGAGTGTAAGAATAGGGATTAGAGAAAGTGGATAGAATTTGAAATATATATTAGAATTAGTACTGGTAGGGCTTGACAAGGAACTGGCTATACAGGATAAACAAGAGGTAAGAATCAAGGATGGCACGCAGGATTTTGGCCTAGGCATCAAATGGTGCTATTTAACGAAAGAATGGGGATGAACAGGATTTTTTTGTTGATGGTAGGGCGTTTATTTTTTGAAGTAGAGGTTTGAATCAAGGGTTCAATTTTGTATTTGTACAAACTGAGGCATCTGAAAGAGACCCAAGGGGAATTGTTAAATGGGCAGTTAGATGATTTGAGATCTCAGAAGTGAGGTCTGGGATAGATATATAAATGTGGAATATAGTGGGAATATAGTCAGCATTATAAAATCACAGAAATTGAGATCACTTAAGATTAGAGAATAAAGTTAGGAAAGAGAGTTCAATACGGGCCATAATGAAGGCCAAAATTTAAAAGCTGAGTAGAGAAAAAACAGTTAGCAGAGAGTTAAAATGGCCAGGAGAAAACGCAGTAACCAAATAAAGGGAGTGTTCAAAGAAGTGGGAGTTAGGAGAAAAAGGTAAAATATCAGTGTTAATAACAACAACAACAAAAAAAAAAAAACCCAAACCCACTGCCATCGAGTTGATTCTGACTCATAGTCACCCTACTGGACAGAGTAGAACTGCCCCATACGGTTTCCAAGGAGCAGCTGGTGGATTCAAACTGCCAAAATCTTGGTTAGCAGCCATAGCTCTCAACCACTGCGCCACTGGGGCACCATTAATAACAATAGTGACTTAAAATCATTTATATAATAAAGAAATTATTTTAATAACTTACATATTTTAGCGTGATGCTTTATGTTATTTCCTCTCCAGGAAAAAAAGAAAAAAGATTATTTAGTTAAATTACCAAGTAATACTACCAGTTCCTTTAGGGAATTTAATTAAATTTATATTCATAAACCATTTTCTGGATGAGTCATTTTTTTTTTTTTTAGCAAAGAGCACTTAAAATTTACAATAATTATTATCCTAATTTAATGGAGTTAAATCAAATAAAGCATAATAAAGTCAAAATTAAAACTCAAGCTATTATAAAGCCTCTAATTAAGGAAATCTAGTGTTTCAGATTTTAAATTGGTATAAGCATTCTAAGAATTGGGTAAACAGAGTAACAGTGACAAAAGAAAAATACAACCATAGAAGGAAAGATGGGAAAGAACACAAAACGATTACTATCTTAAATCTCTTGAACTATCTCACACTTGTCTTGTCTTAGAAGAAGTACAACCAGAATGCTCCTTAGAAGCAAGGATGGAGAGACTACGTCTTACATACTTTGGACATTACCAGGAGGGATCAGTCCCTGGAGAAGGACATCATGCTTGGTAAAGTAGAGGGTCAGGGAAAAAGAGGAAGAACCTCAACGAGATGGATTGACACAGTGGCTGCAACAATGGGCTCAAACATAGCAACAATAGTGAGGACAGTGCAGAACTAGGCAGTGTTTCGTTCTGTTGTTCTTTGGGTCACTGTGAATAGGAACTAACTCAGTGGCACTTAATAACACCACCACCTTCTATTTCTCCTAAGGCATTTTGGGTTTTGTTCACTTTTACTTTACTTCATGCTTGGTCAAATAGATGGTCAGCGAAAAAGAGGAAGACCCTCAAAGAGATGGACTGACACAGGGGCTGCAACAATGGGCTCAAGCATAAAAATGACTGTGAGCATGGCACAGGATTGGGCAGTGTCGCTATGAGTCGGAACTGACCCGATGACATCTAACAACAACATCTCACACTAACAGCATCACATATTTTACCTCAAGGAAAGTGAAGATTAGGTTTCATAGAGATATAATGAATAAAACTTAAACTCAGATTTTTAAAAATTGATCTTGTGATGTACAATTAAATCATACCAGTAAACCAAACCCATAGTTGTCAAGTTGATTTCGACTCATAGCAACCTTACGGCACAGAGTAGAACTGCCCCATAGGGCTTCCAGTAGTAGCTGGTGGATTTGAACTGCTGATGTTTTGGTTAGCAGCCAGGCTCTTAACCACTGTGCCACCAGGGCTCCAATTAAACCATAAGGGAGTTTTTATAACATTAAAAATCATTTAGTTAACACCTGTACTAAGACAATGAGAATAATATGACTAATACTACTCAAACACATTCAAAACTGGTATTTTAATACAATTCTACTAAGAAAATGTTTCCATCTAAAGATGGGAAAATAAACTAGAATTTATTCCTAGTGGGAAACTCATTTCACAATAGCTTCAAAGTCTACCTTCTTATGAAACAAGTAGGACTTAGAAAAAGACAATTACAAGGACGGTTCATCTTCCCTGCACACACAAAAAAATAGAAGATTAAAATGTGTTACTTTTCTTACCGTAGTGGGCTGAATGATGGCCCTCAAAATATTAAGTCCTAATCTCCTGAACCTGTAAATATTACCTTACATGACAAAATTTTTACAGATGAAATTAAATTAAGGATTTTGAAATGAAGAGATTGTCTTGTAATATCCAGGCAGGCCCTAAATGCTATCAGATGTATCCTTTCTAAGAGGAAGGCAGACGGGGATTAGACATACAAAGGAGAAGGCAATATGAAGGTGGAGGCAAAGATTGGAGTGATGCAGCCAAGGAATGCCAGCAGCCACCAAAAGCTCCAAGAGGCAAGGAAGAGCCTCTGGAGGGGGTGCAGCCCTGCTGACACCTTGATTTTAGCCCCATAAAACTCATTTCAGACTCCTGGCCTCCAAAACTATGAGAGAATAAATTTCTGTTGTTTTAAGCCACCAAATCTGTGGTAATTCATTACAGCAGCCACAGGAAACTAATACACTTCCAAAAAATAGTTTACGAGAAT